ACCCCCCACCCCCCGCCTCAACCAGTCGCAAACAGTGGAGGCGGACTGCCTTGGGGGGGTCCTGAATCAAGGTGGTGCCCAGGCATCCCTCTCACATTTTTCACCTCCCCAAATAGTCTTTAGTCTTCCCCTGGGCAGCTTTTGAGAAGTTCCTGACAAGTAGGCCACCTTCACTCACAGGCTCCCTTGCCACCACACCACGTGGTGGTCCAGGTGAGTAAGAAAGATCAAAGCGACAAAGGGCATGGAGGCTGCAAGAGGTGAAGTGACATCTCAAAGGACATACCAGGAAGTCAGTGACAGAGCCCAATGCCACTGCCTGGTCCTTTCCCTCCAGCCTTCCCCCTACCTCCCCTCATCTCCCTTCTGTTATTGATTAGTAGGTAATCAATGTGTGCACATGGATTGCATTATGAATTTATTTTTTTTAATTATTTTATTTAATTTTATTTATTTTAATTTGATCAGAAAGGGACAAGAGGAGAGAGAGAGAGAAAGTGAGAAAGCAAGCCACCAGGTCCAGGACTTGAACCGTGGTCAGCCATGTGGGAGTCCAGCATGCTCACCCACCACACCACCTGCCGGCCCCAAGAATTATTTTATTCAACTTTATTTATGTATTTACTTATTTGTTTGTTTTTTCAATTTGACCAGAGAGAGACAGAGAGAGAGAGTGAGAGGCCGAGTGAAAAAGCAGGCTGCCAGGTCTGGGACTCGAACCACAGTCAGCCACATGGGAGTCCAACACCCTTAATCCCCACACCACCAGCCAGCCCCATGAATTTTTTTTGAAAGAATTACTTATTTTATTATTATTATTTTTTAATTTGCTATAGGGCATGTGTGTGTGTGTAAAAGAGAGAGACAAAGCCACCAGGTTCAGGACTCAAATCATGGCTGGCCACATGGGACTCCAATGCCCCAACCAGCATGCCATCTGTGGAGGTCAGAACCAACTAGGCCAGGGTCAGATGGGTGCTAAGGAACAAACCAGGCTGCCAGGAGCCTCTCTGCTCCTGGAAATGGGTAGAAAGAATGAGGGAGGTTAGGTCTCCAGAGGGCATGGAGACCTGGGGTGGTGTGTGTGTGCTATTGAGGGCAGAAGCAGGTTACCATGACAACCATCCTTAGTGCCAGGTCCCTGACACTCAATGATGTCACAGTCATCACTCTGTGACACAGTCATAAGGTTCTGACGGCGACCACTGCAGGTTGAAGCTTCAGACTGAGGGCTTCGACTGGATAGAAAGAGTAGCCTTCTGGGAAGCAGAGATGGAGGTGATCCCTCTGAAGAGGAAAGGCAAACCTTTCGTCATTCGAAGTATGTGCCCAGGAATAGGAGGTCAATGGGTGGGGCTGTAGCCATGGGGTGGGCAACCACAGGTCTGAAGGGTCGCTAGGCATCACTTGCCCTAAGGTCTTTTCTGGTTCAGAGATGCTCTTATTTCCTGGGTTTGGCCTTCAAGTCTCCTCTTCTGGGAATGCCCCAAGTGTGCCCGCATGTGCCTGAGCTTGGCAATGTGACTCCTGCCATCCACTCAGGTCCCACCAAGTGGGGCCTGGTGGGCTGCGAGGTTACCTCTCTGGTTCCCCCACCTTCGTGCCTGCCAACGGCTAAGTGCAGCTTTCCCGTGTGGCCAGGATGCTGGGCCAGAGGGCGGTACTGTCCATCCCAGGCCCCCAGCTCAAACCTCTAGTCTACAAAGGCCTGGCAACCTAGAGAGGCTTTTGTGCTCTGACTGGGACAGGGGAACAGGATGGGCCCTGAGAACCTGGTTGTAGAAGGATTCAGGGCTGTCTGCGGGGAGAAAGGGCCCATCCTGCCATGAAACTCTGAAGGCTGAGGCTGGGACTGTGGGAAGGATCATGATCGCATGGCTCAGAGATGGCTAGAGAAGGAAGGGGTAGCCAGTAAAAGAGACGGTAAACCCCTGTGAGTGGAAGTACCTGAGCACAAGGTAAACAACCACTCAGCTGGTTCCATGGGGCAATTAGAGGAGCTGGCTGGGCTCCTGAGAGTCTGTACATTGGGGACCTGGAATGGTGCTCTGATACCTGGTAGCTCTTGCCCAAAGCAGCCCTTGGGGCCAGTTCATGGCATGGTGGTCAAGGCAGCTGGATCCTACATGGCCTCCCACACTGTTCAAGTCCTGGACCCAGCGGCTTGAGAAATATGCAGGGTATGTGAGGTTCAGCCTGGGTCTGGAGGCTCAGGGGAGTTGGTAGGAATGGAGCAGGGATAGGGAGGCAGGTGCGGTGTGAGGCCAGCTGCCTTGCACACCTTGAAGTCTGCCAGTTTTCTGCAAACAGGTCTGGAAAACTCATCTTCTAGTGGGTCTCATTTCTAAATATGGGAATTCTAAGTATCTGGCTCTCTTGGTCTTTCAAAACGCGTTGGAGAAGGAACGCTCCAGAAAAATTCCTGATAGCCTTTCATTTTTCACACCTTAAAATGTCCTTTCCCTCACCCTTTCTTTTTTTCCTATTCTTTCCAGGAAGCTCGTGGTACCTAAAAGAGTCAAAGGCTCTTGGATGTTTTTTTTTTTTTTTTTTGGAGAGGTTTTCACTGTAGGGCGCGTGCGCTCGCCAGACAGACAGAGAGAGACAGAGAGACAGAAAGCGAGAAATCACCCCCCAGAGGGGATGGTCACGCCGCAATCCCTTCTCCTCCATTCTCCTCTCGGGATCTTGGGCACGCACGCACATGCGCCCGGCGTGAGTTTTAAGCCACCGGGTCTGGGACACGAACCACAGTCAACTACGTGGGAGTCCAGCGACATAGCCATTACGCTAACTGCTGGTTCCCATCGGATGTTTTTCGAATAGGGCCGGTATTAGACTTTGGAGGGGACATTTGTTCCTCATGGGTGACTGCTCCTTGTAAATGAAGGACAGTTCTATTCGAACACGCCTTAGAGAGGTAACACTACTCCCCGCAACACTTTGAAAACCATTGCCTAAATTCCCTTAAAGTGACTTGCTGAAGACCATATCATTAGTCAGTGGCAAAGTCCAGGTCAAGTCAAATGCTCATCTTATCTTCATTCATCCTTCGCTAGAAGTGGGTCAGGAGAGCAGAGGGAATGCAGGCTTGAACTGGGCAGTGAAGAGGGGACCGCTGTAACTCTTCCTCCCTGCCCACAGACCTGCACTTTCTCTGCTGTCGCCAAACTCAGTTTTCCTCTTCCAGCCCGACTAGTCCTGTTTGCTCAATTGCAGGCACAAACACTTTCTGGCAATTAGTGGGAAAAGCCTAGCGGGACATATCTATAGGAGCGGATAGGCCCCTTTTGGGTGGGTCACGGGATCCGAGGGCTGAAGCCTCAAGGTGTCCGGGAGGAAACAGCTGCCCTGTGCCAGGCGCCAAGGAGCAGGCTACAGTCGGGTCCCTGTGGCGGGGGCGCGCGGAGCTGGGTACAGGTGGGGGATCGTTGGCAGTCGCTGGAAGGCTAGGGAAGGTTTCCTGGGGTAAGGGAGCCGTCTGGGGGCCAGGGGCCAGGGGCTGTCCAGGCCCAGCAAGAGCAGAGAGAGGGCAGTGCAGCCGAGCTGACCTCGCTTTTCCCACGACAGAGGGTTAGGCCACCGGGAATCCTGGGGCCGCCTCTTGAAAGTCTTTGGAGAGCCCAGCTCGGCTCAGGGGAATGTGTGCGGGATGGGCACGCGAGAATATTATTATTCCTCTGTTTTCCCTTCACGGCCGGCGCCGGCGGGTTGTTCTGTTTGAATGAATGATCCCAGCGGCCGCGCCCAATGGGCGCTAGCGCCTGCTTAATATGCATGAGGCCCGCAGCCAATGGCCGGGGGGGGAG